TTAAAAAAATAAAATGGTCTGGGGATGTGGCTCCTTGGTTATGCATCCCTGGGTTCTATTCCTGGTACTAAAAATAATAATAAATATAAATATCTCTCCCAAGTCCAAAGAGCTCCATTTTATGTACACTTCCCCTATTCTACCAACTCCATCCTCATGGGCCTAGTGTCCTAATCCCATGTAACACTGAGAAAGTCCAAGCCGGGGTGGGTGTTCTGGCTTTGTCTTTAGAGTGAGCCTGCAGAATGCCCCTCTCGCCCCACTCACCGATGAGTCAGCAGACAGGTCTTGGCACAACCTTTCCTTCTGGTGGTCAGTCACATTCCCTCCAAAGGTTTTCATAGATAAAGACAGCTTCTCCTGGATTCCACTCCTTATTTCTTGGCCACACCTTTAAATAAGAGCACCGGGAAGTGTGTTTGAAAACACAGTCTCTTCAATCAGCCAATCTTTGACCCACTTGCTAATTTAAACACATTCTAGGGAAATATTAGTGGACTAGAATACTATCTGTTTTCTGCTGGGCTGTTTGTTTTCTTCTTCTTCTTCTTCTTTCTTTTTTGTTTTTAATGATGTCTCTGTTTCCATAATTCCTAAGAATTATTCATACAGCACCCAATGAGGAGTTTATCTTTGTTTTTGTGGTACTGGGGATTGAACCCAGGAATGCTCTGCTACTGAGATACATCCCCAGCTCTTTTATTTTTTTATTTTTTATTTTGAGACGAGGTCTCACTATGCTGCTGAAACTAACCTGGAATTTGCGATCCTCTTCCCTCAGCTTCCTGAGTAGCTGGGATTATAGGTGTGCACCACCAGATTCTGCTGGGCTATTTTAAAAGATTCAGCAAAGATAAAAATTTTAAATCAAAATCTAAGTCTGAAAAATCACACAGACTTTGAGATGGTGGTGCATGAAGCTCCTTTAAACACCTGGGCCAACCCCCTCAATGTGCAGATGAATAAACAAATCAAAAAAGAGGAACAGTGTCAAGGACTCATCCACATTAGTGGGGCAGAGGCAGAAGTGAAAGCTGGTTTTAACTACTTCTGCTCCACTGTTCTGCCATTCAACATGTTATTTTAATAAATGTTTATTGATCAACTCAGGCTAAGTAAGAATGGAACATTCTATGCAAATCAAAAACTATTATCTCTCCCCTAGGAAGTTTAAGAAAATAAACTGACATTTTCAAAAATCAGTACCACACCCGGCATAGTGGCGCACACATGTAATCCCAGCAGCTCCGGAGGCTGAGACAAGAGGATCACAAGTTCAAAGCCAGCCTCAGCAAAAGCGAGGGGCTAAGCAATTCAATGAGACCCTGTCTAAAATACAAAATAGGGCTGGCGATGTGGCTCAGTAGTTGAGTGCCCCTGGGTTCAATCCCCGGTACCAAAAAAAAAAAAAAAATTAGAAGCGTAGCAGGTCCTAATGTGATTTACATACACCCTTCAGATGTCACTAACATTAATTGAGGTTCTGAAGTTGTATACAAGGATGTTAGGAGGTACCAGTTCCTATTCAGGCCGCCAGAAGGCACTACCTTGTGTACTACAGAATGTTTCCTTAGAGAATTAAGAGATTGTGGGGCCTCCTCAGCCCTGGAACCAAAACCATGTTCACTGTCCACTTAAAGACATTGAAGATAACATCACATTTGTTTCTGGATTAAGATGTTCACTTTTAACCAGCGTGCCCTGCTGCATTATCATCATATGCAGATAAGGCATTTCCTCCATATCCATCTTTGGAAGAAAATGGGTCAAAGAGATTTAATAGCATTAGGATTTTACTACATAAGTTTAGGATAGTTTTTTTAAAAAATATTATTTACTTATTTTGATAAGGAGGATTGAGCCCAGGGGCACTTTAACACTGAGTTATACCCCCAGCTCTTTTTTATTTTGAGATAGGGCCTCACTAAATTGCTGAGGGTCTCATAAGTTGCTGAGGCTGGTCTCAAACTTGTAATTCTCCTGACTCAGCCTCCAGAGTGCTGGGATACTATGGTGCTAGGCTAGGATAGTTTTTTAAAGGACACCCAAAGAGTACACTCCCAAACCAAGACCTGGGCACCAAGCTGAGTTGCAGCCACTTGTGAGATGTGCACTGTTCTGTCAAAACCCTCATTAAAGCCTTGGGATGGTGGTGGCATTGTTTTTAATACTTGAAGTTACTACTCTCCATCTCCTGGGCCCTTTCCCCATCTCTGGTTTTGTTTTTGTTGTTTTTCCCTATGTACTTTCTTCATTATAATACTAATGTAGAGTGAATCCTACTCTCAAAACCAAGATCCCAGGCCTGGCTTACTGTCACATCCTACTGCCGACCTTGACCTTAACCCATCCAGGTCCTCATTTCTTCCTATGAAAAGGAAAGCAGACAGGAAAACACTGCTATAATCTTTAAAATTCACTTTTTATTACCAGAGAAAATGGATAAAATAATTAAAGTATAACAGGAAAAATAAAGAAAGAAAGAAAAAAGTGAAAGTCTTTCCCAACCTTTTGTCCCAATGATATAACAATATTAATTTTGGTTTATTTGGTATATTCTTTTTTGTTGTTTTTCTTTTCTTTTTCTTTTCTTCTTTTTCCCCATATTAGGAATGGACACAGGGTCTCACATGTGCTAGGTGAGTACTCTACCACTGCATTACATTCCCAGACCCTTTTTAAATTTGGAGACAGGGTCTTGCTAAGGTGCCAAAGCTGGCCTTGACTTCACAGTTCCCCTGACTCACGGCAGTGGAATTACAGGCATGCAACCACTGCGCTTAGTCTCCCATAATTTTAAGGCCAAAACAAACAAAAAAAAATCAATTACATACACTTAGTCTAGAACTACTTTTCCTTTCGCTTAATCGCAGAGCATTATCAGAGGACAAGTAGCATCAGTGTCATAAGAGCAGAGTTGTTTTTGTTATGTTTGTTGTTGTTGTTGTTGGTATCAGGGATTGAACTCAGGGTCTCTGAACTACATCCCCAGCCCTCTTTTGCATTTTATTTAGAGACAGGGTCTCACTGAGTTGCTTAGGGCCTTGCTAAGTTGCTGAGACTGACTTTGAACTTGTGATCCTCCTATCTCAGCTTCCCAAGTAGCTGGGATTACAGTGTGCCACTGCCCCCTGCTGAGAGCAGAGGTTTTGACTGCTTTGGTCACTGCTGTTCTAGATATCACAACAATGCCTGCCCAAGAGTAGTTGCTAATAAATGTTCACTGAATGGACAAATGGACATAAATTCTCTTTCCTATCAGACTAAGTGACATTTCATGAGGCCAGGGATTTGCCTTTTTTAGTCCCCCTCCATGATCCCAGCATCAAACACAGTGCCAGAACATAGTAACCACTTAAAAGTATTTGTTGAATTAACCAAAAAACTCAATGAAACTTTCTAGTTCGTTTTAACTGTACCATCTAATCAACAATTTTTCTATTGATATAGAAAATCTCTTATGAATACCCTTGCAGTAATCATATTTGTATAATATTCTTGTTTAAAGATTTTTATAGGATAGGAATATCGTTGAGGAGAAACCATTGATCTGGTCCAAATGTGTTCTCATGTTCTTTCTCACTAGAATTTCATGATTTTTAAAAAAACCCTTGTGGTTAATTTGTCAGCCTGTATGAGAACTGCTGCCTACAATATTAGTTTTGCAAAATGATCTCTCTTACATATCAGCTATAGAAAGCCAGTGCTCTCCAAATCTCTTTATTTATAGCCGAAATACCATCTAATTCACACAATAAGACTGCCAGAAAGACTTGTAAAAACAAACAGGCTGCCTGCAGGCTCAGTGACCAACATCTTCTCTGTTCAATCCAGCAGCAATTTCCTCCTCAGCTAGCTGTGGAGGAGTGATTTTCATTCAGCAACACGTCCATATTGTTGATTCACCCCCACACACACACACACTCCCAGTATTGGGTATTGAATCTAGGGGAATTCTATCGCTGAGCTACACTCAGCCTTTTAATTTTTTGACACAGGGTCTCACCAAGTTGCCCAGGCTGCCCTTGAACTTGTGATTCTCTTGCCTCAGCCTCCAGAGTCAGGGATAACAGACATATTTCACATTCTTTATGTGCTAAGGAAGGCAGAAAGAGAAAAACATAAAAGAGTAACAAAATCCTGAATAGAAAGAGGATATTGAGAAACAAAAGCCACTTTGGCCAGATAAGAACAGATATGGGAGCTTCAGAGTATTTGTGAATTCTTCGAGAAGTTACAGACTCGTGCTCTGTCTGAGCTCTGCAATGGAAAGTCTCTCCAGAAAGTTCCCTTTCTGCATTCTGAAGTTATTTAGCAAGTTTCAGAGTCAGGTAAGAGCCTGGGAGGCAACAATAAACAAGACAGGGATAGTCTCCGCTATCTCGGAATTTAAGTTCAGGGACGACTGTCTTTCCATTAAGGGGTCTGATGCTGACAAGACAGATTGCTGGAAGCCTTTGCCTCCTTTTCACCAGGAAATAGAATCTGTGTCTCAGTCACTAGTTCTTCTTCTGTGAAATTACAGCTCCAGTTCTCTCCATGAATGGAGAAGTTGGGCAGAGATATTTCCCTTTGAGAGTGCAACAAGCAAAACTTGGCCACACATACACACACACACATACACACACACACACTCCTTTTCCCCATGTTCTCCAGCCACACCACAGGCCTGCTGAGTTGTCTTCTTAACTGAGGCAGAGGTGAGCACTTACCATTGGACAGGCAACATTCAAAAAAGCATAAACTCAGAGGGAAACTTCAAGATCATTCTTTTCTTTTTTATTTATTTTTTAGTTATAATTGGACACAATACCTTTATTTTTATGTGGTGCTGAGGATCGAATCCAGCACCTTGCACATGCTAGGTGATCACTCTACCGCTTAGCCACAGCCCCAGCCCCTCCTTTCGTATCTTAATCTTTTTTTTTCTTTTCTTTCTTCTTTTTCTTTTTTTTTTTCAACCTTTTTATTTTTCTATTTTGAGATAGTATCTCCATAAGTCACTTAGGGCCTTGCCAAGTTGCCGAAGCTGGCCCCCAACTTGGAATCCTCTTGCCTCAATCTCCCGAGTTGCTGAGATTACAGGTATGTACCACAACATTTGGCTTATTGTACCTTTTTAAGGATTACAGATCTCCATGAAAAGCAGTGCCCCTTTAGACTATCTGTACCGAAGAAGAAAAGCACATGTCTCGACACACAGCATACTCTACATTCTCAGGAGCTTCACAGTCACATCATAAGCCTGAATTTCTTGGAAAGATTTCATATCAAGAATCCCTAATGTGCATAAAAGTACATTTGAAGTCTAATGCCCATGATTGGCAGTCTCTGGGTTGGATACCCCTGTTAGCTGGGATACAGAGGTAATGATGTACAGCAAAGGTCACAGTTGAACCCCAATGTGAGCTAATTATCTCCAGAAAATAGGAACACTCTTCTTGGTGCCCCTGGACAGAACCTGTAAAACCAGTTAGCTGACACATCTCAGTTTTGAAAAAAAAAAAAACAACACCAAGGTCAAAAATGAAGGTGCTGGATTCAATGGCATAAAAAGGTGAGAACCCAGAGGTGGTCAGTATTGCTGCTCACTGCTGATATAGCAGTAGTCCTCATTCGGGTCCTCCATCTCATATATGTTTTCCTCAATGATGTAGATGTTCTCCTCTGAGCGCATCCTGTCTGCTGCTGCATTTGCCAACCCTGAGGGCCGGGGGTTGGCCAGCGTGATGAGACTGTGAAAAGAAAAGTGTTGCGGTTGATTTAAGCATTCTGCAGGCAACATGGGACAAGGTTAAAAGATTAGGCTTTAAGCTGGGTGTGGAGACATGCGCCTGTAATCCCCGCAGCTCAGGAGGCTGAAAACAGGAGGATCGTGAGTTCAAAGCCAGCTTCAGCAATGGCAACTCAGTGAGACCTTGTCTCTAAATAAAATACAAAATAGGGCTGAGGATGTGGCTCAGTGGCCAGGTTCTCCTGAGTTCAATTTCTGATACCAAAAATAATAATAATAATAAAAAGATTAGGCTTTGCCAAAGAGACATGTATGATCTTTGATTGGATGTCGACTAGGGGAAAAGCCATAAAATAATTCGGGGACTATCTGAGAAAATCTGAATTAACCTCATTTTTCTTAAATAGAAAAACTGTATATCCTTATTCTTAGTGGTCAAAGGCTGAAATGTTTAGGTGAAGTGTCAAGATATCTACAACTTCCTTACAAATGGTTCAGAAAAACCATTGTGCATATGGAGAAATAGAACAAAGCCAGAATGTGCACCATGCCACATGTGAGTTCAGGTGGAGGTTCTGTTGTTCCTTTCACTGTCATTCCAATTTTTCTGTGAGCTTGAACAATTTCAAAAGGAAAAAGAATTGGAAACAATTATGTTGTAGATCCAATCAAACTAGACTTCAAATTCTCTGATACATGCTAGCTTTAAGATTTGCATAAATCTTTTTTGTTGTTGTTTTTTTGGTTTTGGTGGTGGTTGTTGTTTGAGTACCAGGGATTGAACCCAGGGGCTATCAACTACTGAGCCGCATTCGCAGCCCTTTCCATATATATACATTTTTTAATTTTGTGATAGGGTCCCACTAAGTTGCTTAGAGCCTCACTAAATTGCTAAGGCTGGCCTTGAACTTGCAATCCTTCTGCCTCAGCCTCCTGAGTTGCTAGAATTACAGGCATACACTATGTTTTGTTTTCATTCAAGAAATAATTAGTATGTTACACACTGTTCTATGCAACTAGAGAGATAGAATTGAATGGAACACAAAAATCCCATAGAGGTTAAGTGTTAGTAAACTTTGTGTTTTAGTATCCTTGTCTGTAATATGGAAATAATGTGAGTCCTGCCTCACAGGTTAACCGTGAAAAATACTAATTTATTGCATCATTAATATTGATTGTTAATAGGATCAGGCACTGTTCTGGGGATACAGTCATTAATATGGCAGACAAGTTCCTAATTTTCTGTGGAGTTTACAATTTGTAGACAGGGATGAACATTAATCATATAATTTCACAAATGATGAATTAATTCCTATCAATGTTACCTCTGGATAATGATCATATTTCCCAATTTCTGCTTTAATGAAGAACACTAATCATTGAATATTTTACTTGTTACTTTATTTGACTTCTTATTACATGTTATTTTGTCTTTATAATATATCACATTTAACTTGGTCTAAAATTATCAGTGATTTAGATAGTATTTAGTGGACAGTCATTTGTTTCTCAAAATACATTACATTCTTGTAATGCACCAAATGTTACTAAAACTGGAAAATCTGATAAGGGTGTGACTTATGTCGATCAGGAATGGATGGTGTAAATAGTAAGGAATGATGATGAAGATAGGGACCCGAATTAACTCTCAGCCCTGACTACACAACAGAACCACCCAGAGAGCTTTCAGAGAAACATCTGCTAAGTCCTCATCATCAAAATTCCAATTCAGTTGCTACAGGGCTGGTCCTGCATCAGTTTGCTTAAGTGTCCTCGTGATCCTATACATCATCAGCTGAAAAGCCTGAGTGGGGCTATAAAAACCCTGAAAACAGACTGGTTTTCCTGTTCACCTCAGTGTCCAGCCCTGACCCACCTGGATATAGTAAGTGCTCAATAAATTGAGATTTCAGTTCACTGAAAAAAATTCCCATTAATACAGAGATAAATAAGCATTTCTTAATAATAAGGAGATAAATTCTATACCTTAACATTAGAACTAAGGAAGCTAGATGGATCAGGGAGCAAACAGAGCAGCATGCTGAATTTGCATTTCATAATTAGACTTCAGGCAAAAGAAATACAAGCTTAGACCCCCCAAACCCCAGGCCAAACCTTCTCAGGGCAGAAATCAAAGCTATATTAGGATAGGGGGCCGCTCAGATTCTCCTTCTCCCATTCCTATTCTTACCTTGAATTCTGTTTCTTTTTCCTATGAGAATACCCTAGGTAAAGAGGAAAGTAAAATGAATAAATGTGCTTAGGTAAAATAAATAAGAAATAAAATGGGCTCACTGCGGGTAATTGTTGTTTAGGGAAATCTGGTCTCTGCTTAGAAGAAACTAAATCAAACTCCCCATGTGTGTCTTAGTTTATTCTATGTACTAGGCTAGAAAATAAAGAAGATGCATTTTCTCATTTAAGAAATACCACGAGGCCTCTTCTAAGTGTCTGGCAATTTGCTAGGCATGGTTGACACAAAGGTGAATTGTGAGTCCTAACTTCACGAAGCTTGCATGAGAGAAACAAGAAAAAAGAGAAGAAAGCAGATAGGGTACAAGGAAAAGAAAAGAGTAAGTAAGTAGAAAAACGAAATAATTTCAAAGTGTGATGTATGAGAGAAATCAAAACCACACTGAAACAGAGAATAGGGCAACACTTTCAGAAACTATCATTAAGTTCAGCTCTGAAAGAAAAGAATGAGTCAGCTGTGTCAAGAGCCTCGGGGAGCCTTCCAAGAAGAGAGAAGCCCTAGGAAAGATCTTGGTGATTCTCTGAAACCAAAAAGTGACTAAGAGAACGAGCGGCCCCAGGTGAAGGCTGAGGAGTAAGCTGTGGCTAGGGGCCACAGGACTTTTCCATCGTGATAAGGAGTTAGAGTTTTATTTTAAGACCTATAGGAAATCACTGAAGGACAGAGATATGGTCTGTTTGGGTGTTAATATCACTATCAGCTATGTGGAGGAAGGAGGGAGAGGAACAAAGAAATGGGAAGAAAGTAGAGATGGCAGTGCCTTATAGTAAGGTGGTGGCCAAGACATGCAGAATGAGGGATTTTAAATATATTTTGGAGAAAGACTTCAGGAACTGAAGTTGGACTGCATCTTAAGAGGTAGGAATGGGAGCAGGATGACTTCTGCATTTCTGGCTTAAACAACCAGACAGACAATGGTAAAATATGATGGAGAAGACCAGAGAAGGAAGGTCAAATAATATAGAATTGGAAGCTCCATTTTGGACATGTTAAATGTGTGAAATATCCAAGTGGAGCTATTGACTGGGCAATTAGACAAGGAATAGCTACACTTCAAGACCTGACAAGAGTCAGGCATGGCAGCTCACCCTTATAATCCCAGCTACTCAGGAGGCTAAGGAAGGAGGATCACAAGTTCAAGCCTCAGCAACTTAGGGAGACCCTGTCTCAAAATAAAAAATAAAAAGGGCTGGGATGGGGTTGGGGTTGTGGCTCAGTGGCAGAGCACTTGCCTAGCACATGTGAGGCACTGGGTTCGATCCTCCGCACCACATAAAAATAAATAAATAAAAATTTTAAAAAAGGGCTGGGATGTCTCTCAGTGGTAGAGCACCCCTGGGTTCAATAATTCACAACACTGAAAAAAAAAGTCTTCTTAATTAATGATATGCAGAAAAGATACTAGAATCAGCCTGCCTGAATTTAAATCCCAGCTCTGAAACTTGCTAATGGTGATGATGATAAAATGTATGTGAAACATTTGACATAGGACCTGCCTGACATGTGGTAATCACTGAATAATTATAAGCTATTATTATTGTGAGGGTTTAGAAGTATAGTGGGTATTTAGCCTACCTAATCACCTTTAGGTACAAAGTTTTATATATATATAAAAATTGGAATTATTGGAAAACCTATACACACACACACACACACACACACACACAAATATATATATATATACACACACACATATATTTGTACTGGGGATTCAACCCAGGGGCACTTTACCACTGAGCCACATCCCCAGCCCTTTTTATTTTCAATTTTGAGACAGGGTCTCACTAAGTTGTTTAGGATCTCCCTAAGTTGCTGAGGCTGGCCTCCAATCTTCCTGCTTCAGCCTCTGGAGTTGCTGGGATTACAGGCGTGAGCTACCATGCCCAGCACAAAGTCATATTTCTATCTCGGTTTGTTCTCATTCCAACATTTCCAGTTCCTATTGGAGGGAAAGACAAACCATGTCCAACAACTTACATTTGAGAATTAAAACACTAAAAATAAGCATAGCAGCCAACCCAGCAGAGATTCCTACTCCAATATAGAGGCCTCTTCTGGTGGTTGCTCCAAAGCTTTGGAACTCATCAGCAAATGTAGATATCTGCTATGCAAACACAAAACAGGATTTAAGATGCAAATGTTCAGAAATTAGCTGTGTACTCAGCCAATACCAAGATTTGGAGTCAGACCATCCCTTTCACAGCATCACAGTATGGAAGGGACTTTAAAACTACCCCTGATCTGTGTCCTTTTAGACAAGCCTCAAACCATGAAAGAAACAGATTAGTTTAATTATTGGAGTTAACAAAGAAATGGAGTATTCTCTTCTGTACTGTGGTTGTAGAAAGAGCTCTTAATAAATGAATCTCTCCCCACACTCCAAAAAAATGGGCTTTTGAGTGGAGTACTGTTCTTTTAGCATACCCTGTGTCCCCCCAGAGAGTTTCAGAGTGGTCCACATTGGATGCCTTGCAGTGAAACCCCTATTTTCCCAGAAATAATGTGACAAAAGAACCAGGACTTGGCAATCAAACAGGGCTGGATTCAAATCTCAGTGTTAACTGAACTTCCAGAATTATTGGAAAACCTAAGTTTATATAATATAAAATGCTTAGCACAGGGCCTGACACATGATAAATGTTCAATCAAAGGTAGACATTATTGCTACTTCTCTAATTAATTTATTTTTATGATAATCGAGAGACATACAAAATTCTCCTATTTCAAAAATTTCAGTCCATGTCTTCCTTTAAAACCAGTAGTAGTGGGCACTTTTAAAACAATTGGGGAAGAGTTAAACCTTTCATTTATTCAATAAACATGTACACATTTATTCAATGCACATTATTTCTGCAGCAGCTGGACTGTGCCTGCAAAGTATTGTGCAGTAAGCACTGTGGTCACACAGAAGTACTCAAAAGGCAGTCATTGATTGCAAAGAGGGAGGGACAAAAACGGGATGCTGAGGGCCAGATGTGAACATACAGGTAGGAGATTCAGTCAAAGCAACACAGACTTCCAGATGTGCCCTCAAAGAATTTTTAAGTCACCATTACAAGCTTGATTTCTTGTGATTTTTCTTTCACTCTGGAAATGTGGGGAACACTAAAACTATGGTAAAATCAAGTATTACTTTATGCTTAAATGACATAAATTCTTGGCTTTGAATATTCTGGATTGATGTTCTGTCAATATAAATGAACAAATTTCAGAATCAACTTTTTGCTTGGGATATAAGGGAAGCAAGAAGAAATGCATTGGAAGAAGCTGGAAAGTCTTAGAAACTTCCACAGTAGTAACAATTGTAAAATTTGAGAAGAGGGACAACATGCTAATGTTTCTTCTTTTTGGTTTGTCATCATCAACACATTACAGACAAGGAATCTGAAGCTAAGGGGGGGGTAAGCCTCCTCCATCCCAAGAAAATGGTAGGTGTGAAGATGTCTAAAGCCAGATTTTCTTTATGTAGTTGAGATTGTTAGCACGCACACACAAAAATTACTTACTGTTCGATTTTTATCATGGAAGGTCCCCAGGGTCTTTGTCTCCACTACACAAGCACAAACACACACAAATGAGGGAAGATAGTCAATAGTTAAAAAATTTTTTGTATCAGAAAAAGCTGAATGATGTCTATAATCCTACTTAAAACTAATTCTTCCCCATCCTCTTCACAATAACTAATTGAGAGACAACAGAATTTACTGATTGCTTACAAATCAACTTCAGGATGACCATGGGCATTCATCTAGATAATGAACCCTCCTACTTCTATTTCCTGAAATACAGATTTTTGTCAGGAAGACTTATATTGAATATGGAGATTGTTTTTATCCACAGGGCTTTAGTTGCTTCTACAAAAATTCAATAGCAAAGATGACAGTCATTATATTCTAATTAGACTTTGAAAGAAATGAAAAAAATCCATTTTCTAGAAAAAGTTTAACATTTATTCATTAGGAGGGAGACAGAGTATTCGGTTACCTTCAAATGAAAATAAGAGCTCTAGCTACAATTTACCAGGACCCAGGCATTGTGCCAAACTCTTTAATGAAGTATCTCACTTAGCATTCGAAATAAGGATCCTAAAGTGTCAGGACTTTTAGTCCCCTTAGACAGATGAAGCTACTGAGGATTAGGGAAGTTAAGTGACTTTCCAAGGTCACAGAGTTTAGTGATGATAGAAATGACCTTCCAATTTAGGTCCACTTGGTTTCAAGCATACATTCTCTACCATCTACCCTCACAACCTCAAAGACCACACTGCTCAGCTGTCAACTCACCATCTTTCCTTTTGGTTGATTTGTTTATTTCTTTTATCTGATTAAGTAGTCAAGGAATAATGTATAACTCTGTGCCAGATTTAGGGGAGAGCAGCAAACCTGATGGAACTGACCCTGATATATTTTTTAAATATTTTGTTAGTTTTGTCAATGGACTTTATTTTATTTATTTATATGCAGTGCTGAGAATCAAACCCAGTACTTCACACATGCTAGGCAAGCACTTTACCATGGAGCCACAAACCCAGGCCCGAGACCCTGATCTTGTGGACACTGTATTCTAAACACAAATAGTTTGTCAGCTTGGGGAAAACAAAGCATGCTTCCTCATTTTTATGACTAAGTCAGAGACTCTTAAACTCCTTAAACACCATGGCTGTCTCCTGGAAACCTTGAAGTCTAAACCCTTTAAGATGCATATCAGGTTCAACTAAATAATAGTTTAGCAGACTATGATTTCAATATTATGAAGGTATACTCTCGTCCTAAAATTATTTAAGAAACAGATATGAAAAAGATTATATTTTGCCTATTACCTGAAAGGAATTTAGCAAATTAAAGTATAAAAACCACAATGGAACTGCTAAGTAAACATGAATCTTAACCACATGCAAGATTTTCAAATGGAAATCCAGTTTCTGCTTCCCTATAATTTTGGCTGTTGGCCTAACTGTTAAGACTGACTGCTTCTTCTTCTTTTTTAACTTCATTTGCTATGACAATGATCTATAAAATGGATGGAGCACATTGAGTTATCAGAGCCTATTTTCACAGATTTGCCCATCAGCCAAGGTGGGGGGAACAGTTGGAAGAAGTTACAGTGTTTCTTTCTGGAGAACCCAAGAGGTGGGTGGGTTGCAGGCAGAGAGAACATCAAAGTGTATAAATGCAGTAGTCCCTATCTGCTCAGCACTGTCTGTGTGCCAGATGTGGTGCTTAGCACTATTAAAGCCATAATTCCATTTAGTGCTCACCACAACAGGTATGTAAGAGTATTTTTCCCATTTTTTTCAGATGAAGAGACTGAGTCTTAGAGAAGTACTTTACCTATAATCACAGAAGTACTTTACCTATGAGAAATCTGGAATTCAAACTAGTCTTCCCAGAGCTGAGGACTCACCCATGACCCAGTCCCACCTCCTTTAGGAAGAAGGGAGAGGACACTTGTCCTGTGTTCAGGTGGGTTTAGCACATTCCACAGCCCTGGGAACCCTGGCTTTTTAAGGCTTCACTCCACTTTATATTGAACACATTAAAAGCAACCACATCACATTAAACAAAAATCATAGACTACCTATGAATTGACTCACCTTGATTAATTGACATAATGTTACATATAGACAAGTTGTTAGATGTTCATTAACTTCACTTTTAGTTTTGTTTTCCTGTTTTGGAGCAATTGCCTTTTTTGGGGGAGGGGGGGCGGCGTCGTTGTTGGTTTGTTTATTCAACTATTTTCTTAATTCAGGCTCTTGAAAAGCTCAGAAATTCAATCTAGGTAAAGTCCCTATATTCTCTGATGTAAGAGATGGCCCCTTTGTTGTTGTCTTGGAGGGGAGTAACTAACAAGCAAAATCTACGGGGAAGGGGATTTCAGTTCATGGTATAGGCTAGGGAGTTGCCTGTATGCCTGTATGCCTGCATGTGTGATATACAGCAGGTACCTACTCAGTGGTGATATTGGAAGATGCATGGAAGCACAGGGTGGAAAAGTGGAACTAAATGATCCCTGACGTCCCATCTAGGTCTATATTTGTAAGTTCTTTAAAATAAAACAATGGCACATGATAAACACCTGTATGATTGATTAGCCCACAATGTGGATGATCATCTGTTCCTGCCGTATTTAATTTCCTCACTAATCACAAAAGAGATGAAGGCTTCCAGTCACTAGAGAACAACCAAAGCCTGAACCTTTAAGGACGTGAAGTTAATCACTATAATAATAATAATAAATAATATTTAAATGAATTCTATAGGCCAGGTACTATGCTGTATTTACACATACATTATCCTGTTTACTCTTATTATTATTTTTAGTTGTAGTTAGACAAAATACCTTAATTTTTATTTATTTATTTTTATGTGGTACTGAGGATCAAACACAGTGCCTCACATGTGCTAGGCAAGTGCTCTACCACTGAGCCCCACCCTCAGCCCCTACTGTTTATTATTTATAGTACCTTATGAAGTAGACACTGGTATTGCCCTCCTTGTAGAGATGAGAAAATTGAGATTCAGAGAGGTGGGAAACTTTACAGAGCTCATAAGAAGAGCTGGATTTTGTACCCATTCTACTTGTCACTGAAGTAATTAACCATAATCTCAATCTTCCTTCTGAAATTATTCATGGCAATAGCTAATCTATACTGAATACGTACTATAATCAGTACTGAAACTAAGCATTTTAGATACATTTTCTGACTTAAAACTCTTAAGGCATGACTTATATGGTTTATAACATTATGAGGTGACACTTCCCTATTTTTAACCTCAATTTACAGAAAAAAAAAAAAAAGAGCTTCATAGAATTTGAGAGAGACAAAAACTCGGACCAGGAATCATAGTATTAACATCCTTGATCAAGGTGACCTGAGGTCTGTGTTCTGCCCTACCTTCTCTTCTGAAGTACCTTGGTGAACTAGCTAAAGAATTAATCTGAGGAAGCTGATGGGCTGTATTCCAGCTAGAGAGAAGTCTAAAAGTCATCTAATCTAAGAGTCCCTGAACACGGATTGGGGCAAATACATGAGAAATATCACTGGTCCAAGAATAAATCAGAAAATAATGAGGATGATGTAATGAGTTTTTCCATTAAGTTAGATTTACTTAATATTTAAATAAAATAAAATAATTTTATTAATTGTTTAAAAGTTAAAGTAAAATAAGATTAAGAGACAATTTTTTTAAATGAAATAATGGCAATAGATACTTTTCTTTCCTTATTTGGCAAATATATAGATCACCAAAATTCTTTCTTAGCATGGGTGGGGAACTTCACTGGGTCATGGAATCCAAAAGTCTCCAAACTCATTCCTTGAACAGAAGAGGAAGTTAATGTCCTGAGAAGTGAAAGAACTTGGCCCAGGTCACTTAGCTAGTGTGTAGCTAATCCAGAATCTGAACTCAGGATGTCTTCACTACCACCTTCACCTCAAACACTATTTCAGGTGCAGAAAAACATCCATGCCTCATCCTCTGAGCTCAATCACCAGCTAAAGGCTTCCTCCTATGCCCCATGTATTACCTGAGCCATGTCCCTCGGTGGTAAGCATCCTTGGAAGAACTGTAGTAACATCTCTCTGGGCAGTTGGAGCTGGGTTGACCTTGGCTAATGTCAGAAAACAACATTAAGGATGAGACTTCTCTGAGTGCAGAGAGCTTGTTTCAGAGAATCAAAAGAGCAGCAGAAAAAATGTGAAAGACAATAAATGAAGACAGACACATCCTCAGCTTCCAAACCAAGCTGAACTCCTTCATTGAGGGAGAACACACACTTCAAACTTTTGTCAGAGGTAAGAGGCAGTCATCATTGTGACAGTCTAAATATTAATGGAACTAAGAATCACACAAGTGGCCATACCCAAGGCTTTGCATAAAATATTATCCATTCAGTTGCCTATATGTAAGTATTATTATCATATTTTACAGAGTAGATCACAGAGTTCAAATAACTTTTCTAAGATTATGCAATTAGTACGATGTAGAGTTGGATTGGAACCTGGCCCCATTCAGTCACAAAGTATGTGCCCTATAAATCTTAAAACATACAAGAACCTGTACCCTTCCCCCAACACACTTGCAAAGTCCATTGGTTCACATCCTGGTTGTATCTGGGGTAGAATCCATGAAAAGCTGATGTTCAGGATTCCATCTCCAGAAATACTGATTTCTCTGTTTGTGGGTGAGGCCCAAGCATTGTAGTGGTTAAAAAGATCTCTGCAGACGATTTTCTTGTTGTTTTTGTACCAGGGAGAGAACCCAGGGGTGCTTAACCACATCCCAAGACCTTTTATTTTTGTATTTTGACACAGGGTCTCACTAAGTTGCTTATGTCCTCATTAAGTTGCTGAGGCCAATCTCAAACTTGAAATCTTCCTGCCTCAGCCTCCCAAGTCAGTGGAATTATAGACATGTGCCATACCCTAGCTTTTCCAGGTGATTCTAATGAGCAGTTAGGGTATCTAATCACTAATCTAGGCTGTCTTCCAGTTCTGTAGATACCATCCAGGACATTCAAAATATATTGGAGGGTGTTAAATATTGCTGGAAATCACAGGTAGGGCTTATAAAACTTTAGGTCATCAGGGTCTATCCCCAGAACTGTAATTAGGGGACTCAGAGGTAGTAAAAAATTAATGTTTATTGTGATTAAGATGTGAATCTTAGGCATAGAGAAGGCATACAAAGATTCCACTTACCTGGTTTGATGATCAACTCCACATTTAGTTTGTAATCATTCATTGGTCCTTCAAACTGGATCCGACAACAATAGGTCCCACTGTCAGCTGGAGTCACATTCACTATGGTCAGGGACACATCACCTTTGTGGAAATTCCCCTTTAGCTGGTATCTGCTGGATTTCTGATTTTTCACATTCATTTCATCAGTGCTGAGCACCAAATCATTACATCCAAATATAGGACAGGACTCCTTGCCCCAGCACACAGGCACAAGACTCCCTGAAGAGATGGGTTTGTAGCTGCAGGGCAAACTGGCATCCTGACCCACCTCGACTATGTATTCCCCTTCCGAAGACCCTGAAGAAAGAGGGAAGGAGAGCAAGACCCTGAGTAAGGCTAGTTTATTTTAGGAATACAGCAAACAAAGCTCTATAGAATGCAGAGGAGAACACGGCTAATGCCCCCTTTGGAGGATGGTTCACTATGCTAATGTTTGAGCAGCCACAGAATCACCAGGAAGCCTTGTGAAAACATGAATGGGGGACTCCACCACTGCAGTTCCTGGCACAGTTGGTTTGCGGTGGAGTCTGAGAACATGTATTTCTAACAGTTTCCAGGTATCGTGGGTCCTTGACCCTTCCTATCAGAACCACCTCTTTGAGAACTAGGAGAAAACTGTGGACAGTTCTGTGAACATGAGAAAACACAGCTGTTGGAATAGACGAACAGAAAACCTCATTGTCAGTCAGGAACTACTTACTCATCAACCAAGGGTGGCTATCCAAACACAAATCTCTCTTTTTTTCAAAAGGCCCAGGGGCACAGTGAATAAATAGCTTTGGCCAAATAAGAAGCTTGTATATTTGAAGCCACTGACAGGTTGTTTTGAGGTTTAAAACTAATTCTTTTTATAGTACACACACATTTATAGGTTAAGACCTTCAAACAGTATAAAAAGTGCATCAGAAGTCTGACTTCCTCCCCCACCTTTTTCCCATTTCCCAGTTCTCCTCCCTAGAGCCCACATTAAGAAATGGCTAGATATGCCCTCTCCTTCCCAATGCATATACACAAAGAGGAGCCTGCCATACATTATGCTGACCCCTTGGTATTTTCAAAAGCATTGTGATTGAGAATCATTCTATACCAGTATATTAAGTCAGGCTTACTGTGTGTATCATGAAATATCACATTTATTTACCTACTCCTCCACAGGTGGACATTTAGGTGGCTTCCAAACTTGTACCTCAACAAATGATGTTGTGAGGACCACCTTGCATCTCTTGCTATCTTGCCCTCCGTCCAGCATCATTCTCCAACGGTAAATACCCACACCACACTTACTTGTAAGAAGCAGCAGCAGCAGCAGCAATAACAGGATACCATGTGAAAACATGGGCTCTTCAGAGGAAGAGTCAGAGGATGACTCTGTTTAGGCACAATTTGAACTCTCCAGATGAACTAAGTATTTCCTCCAACTGTCTCTTTCCTCCACAATCACATGAATGGAAGCTACTTCTGCTGATTGCCAGACCACACTTGAGGGTGTCTGACTACCAATGATGTCTGTACTGATGCTGCTAAATCTTCAGTCACATGAAAAGAAGCCCCAGTTGTTTGTCATACCACACCCCACATGTCCTGTGAACATGATGATGTTTGTCTTGGTGCCTCAACAAAGAGGAAGCAATATTTCAGAGGAACAAAAGTATTAGTCATAGCCAGTAGAAAGAACCCTCATCTTATTACTTAGGTTAAGTAGGTCTGAAATGGACAGTGTGCAAGTTGGGCTGGTTAACGGGGAATATAAAATGCAGTCAGATGGTTCATGCATTCATTCAGTCAGTGCTCATAAAGCAGGTACTCTATGCAGGCACTGAACTAGGAGCTGGAGAACAGGACAATGGATGGCAACTTCCTTATCCTCACATCCATAGGCAACTGCCAATATGATCATGACCCAGTTCTTGTCCTTGTTCTAACACAAATTCGTTCATGTCCTATACCTTGTTGAATCTGAGCTTCCTCACTTAGAAATTTATAAAATGAATAGGTGATATATGCACAGCTCTCCACTCTAATAGTCTGACTTCGACCTTCAAACTTTCAAACCCTGCCTTTTAGGAAAGTCATATTCCTCTCGGTAATGCTTTTTTACTCCCTGACTTTGGATGGAATTGAGGAGACCGCAGTATTCTATTCCATCTCATGAACACAAGGTACTCTTACTCTCGGGGGGCTTCTGGCATGAACTGCCAGAAAATGTTGTGTTCCAGCCACACCATTCATTCCTGAGGCAATACCAGCCCCACGTGCCCTTAGCCCTGGGAGAGTGACTTCTATCTAGATACCTTAAATCCCAAAGCTTCTTTACAAAAGGGAAGTGAGCTTACAGACTGAGTGGTTTCTGAAAACACAGTTGGCCTTCCTCTATGTCTTGCCTTCCTGAATTTCCTCGTCACCTGGATGCCATTAAATGCATTTAATAGAAACATTCAACTTGTTCCGTATATGTACTTAAATAGCATAACAGAGTGGTAGTTGTTCAAGAGATCATAGTTAATTGCCTCATTTCACGCACAAGGAAACTGAGACTCAAGAAAAATTATTTGCCCAAAGGTATGTGATTTGTAATTTAGAATAGGAACACAAGTCTCCTAAACCCCAGACTTTTCCACGTTTGCATCACATTGCATGAATTTAACATTTGTCCTAAATATGCCTGCCCATGTAGTTTACAACAGCCAGAAAACATCCATGTTTAAGCATAGGGCAGAGTGGATAATACATGGGGCTGGGGTGACATATGCACTGGCAGCATGACCTTAGGCAAGGCTTTTAAATGTGTCAGCTCTCAGCTTTTGATTCCTTCTTATAAGGAATAAGTTTTGTTGCTTATGACTCTATTTTCTATCCATCTCTACAATCGCCATTGAGATCACCTTTATAAAACATTAACAGTTTATTATTTTATTAAAGTCTAGGCATGAAGGCATCTAGAGACCTACTCTAATCCCTTCTCTTTGTGTGTAGAGGCCTGTTCCTGAAAATGTTCACACTCATTCAGTTTTGATTTCTTGCTGATTTTTTTTCTTTTCCTTGAAGCTTGTTTTATTTGCTTGTTTACCTATTTTTGCAGTGCTAGGGATGGAACCCAGGGCTCTGTGCAATCTAGGCAAGCACTCAATCACTGAGCTACAACCCCAGCTGGATTTTTTAACAGACACAATTATATGACATCATGATCAGACTATTACATTTAGTCATCAACAGCATGGGTGCAAGGAAAAAAAATCATCATTAAAGCCCTTGTTCAAATGCTTTACACTTTCCACAAAACAAAAAGAAAATAACCTGTTATACAATTAGTCATAATACAGTCTTCAAGATTTTTTACCCGAACACATGACTATTGTCTAAAATATGACTTATTTGCAACAGCCAGGCCTGCCACTACTGTGCTTAGCTGAGTTATTTCTTTTTCAATTGTTTGGAAAAACAATCTAAATCTTCAGTCACAGGGGATTGAACGTGGGAGTGCTCTCCTACTAAACTATCTCCCTGGCCCTTTTTATTTTATTTTGAAACAGGTTGGCCTTGAACTTGCAATCCTCCTGCCCCAGTCTCCCAAGTACCTGAGGTTACAGGCAGAATTTTCCTTCCTTTTTAAGCCTGAAATTGGGTCACATTTCTGCTTTCAGTAGGTAAACTCTTGGGTTGCTTCCACCTTTCAACTATTGCAAATAATCTTGCTATGAATATAAGTGTACAAATAACCTACACTGCATCTTTTAATTTTTTGTCAGTCCTGAGAATTGAACCCAAGGCCTTGAGGATGCCAGGTAAGTGAGCTGCAACCCCCGCACCACCCTTCTTAAATAAAATTTTATTTTATTTTTTTCTTTAGCACTAGAGATTGAATCCAGGGGCACTCTACTTCTGAGCTATATCCCCAGGTTTTTTTTGTTGTTGTTGTTGTTGTTTTGTTTTGTGTGTGTGTGTCTTTGTTTTGTTTTGTTTATTTTTTATGTTGAGATCAGTCTTGCTACATTGACCAGGCTGACCTCAAAATTGCAATTCTCCTGCCTCTGGCTCCTGAATCACTGGGATTGCAGGTATGCTCTACTGCACTGGGCTGTTATTTAAATTTTGAACAGTGTTTAAGTAATGGTTAGTCTGTTTTCTGTTACTCGAGACTAGGTAACTTATAAAGAAAAGAGGTTTCTCTAGCTCCCAGTTCTGGAGATTCAAAGGCATGATATCAGCATTGGCTCAGCTCCAATGAGGACATCATGGAGGACGCATCACAATGGTGGGAAAGTGTGAAAGAGGGAGACATCAAATGGCAGACAGGAAGCCAAAAACCAGGTGAGGGGCCAACTTTGCTCTTTTTACAACAATCCCTCTCAAGAACTAACTCAAGGCCTCATGAGAACTACCTCAATCCCTTTTGAGGGGGACAACCCCTGCCACCTCCTCAATTCCCAATAGGCCCCAACCCTTTAAGGCTCATGGTCTCCATACTGGGGATCACATTTACCTATACAAACAACCTCCAAACAATAGCAGGTAATACTTATGAATGCAAACATCCTTATTTTATTCCTGTTCTCAAAGAAAAAGTTTTAGGTTTTCATCTTGGTTATAATTCATGCTGTAGATTTTTGTGGAGATACCATTTATTATATTAAGAAAATTCTATTCCTAATGTTCTAAGACAGTTTTTTTTCTTTTTTATGGATGGATGCTAAATTTTATGCTTTTTGCACATCTGTTAAGATTATTTTTTCTTCTTTAATCTATTATTTTAGTAGATTACATTAACTACTCCTTTGTAATTCTTGAGATTAAAAACATTGACCATAAAATATTATCTTTTTATTTTATTTTTACATATGACTAGGTTCATTTTGCTAATATTTTGTTTATACTATTAGCCTAATAAAGATAGTTGGGAAATACTTCCTAGTTTTTTTGTGCTGAGTCTGTATAAGATTAGAACAATTTTTATTTTGTGTGTGATACGTGTGCGTGTGTATGCAATATTTGACACACTTGCCAGTAAAGCTATTTGAACATGAATTTCTCTTTGTGAGAAAATTTAACTACTGATTTGTTTTGTTTTTGGTACTGGGGATTGAACCCAGGGGCACTTAACTATTGAGCCACATCCCCAGTCCTTTTCTGGTCTCATTGGATTGCTTAGGGCCTCAGTAAGTTGCTGAGACTGGCTTTGAACTCACAATCCTCCAGCCTCAGCCTCCTGAGCCACTAGGATTACAAGTATGAGGCCCAGCCTGATTCCTTGTTTTAATCATTAAGAAAACTATTCAGGTTATATATTCTTAAATAAGTACTGATAATTTTTCTAAGAACTAGTCCACTTTCTTTAAGTTTCCAAATGTATTGGGATAAAGTTATCTATAATAACTTTTTTTTCTTCTTTTTTAAACTGTTTCTTCTGTTTATAGTAATGCTTCTTTTACATTTCTGCTATTATTTTTGCTTTCCTCTTTTTTCCTTCATCGCTCTCCCTTGTCAGTAGCAGTGACTCAGAGCTCCACTTAAGTCTCTTGGGTATCCTCACAGTCCTTTCAAAATCAGACTTCTTTACAGATGATTAGCAGGTCTGAGACCTGACTATGTTATGTGCTTGGTGACAAATGAGTTTTAGAAGGAATCAGGTGGAACTTCTCTTTCATTCTTAGCATTACACTATGAGTATCATAGTTACCAGTTAAGGAAACTCAGTTTCCATGGAGGTTAGTATGCCAAATCAAAGCTACATAGCTGAAAAATAGGAAGCCCAAATTCTAGCATTCTGTGGTGTTTTCCACTATGATTTCATGGCTACCAACTAGGCATCTAAAGATTTAAATTAATTCTGACATTAACTACTAAGGGTTAGGGTATCTAATATTAGGGTGTCATAAGCAGTGCCCCTGGGCTTCATTTTAGTCTCCTAGAAAACTGGCTACAGCTTCTTAAACCTGACAGAAGAGTGCCACTCACTGGTAACCTCATCACATTGCAATTTGAAACCAAAATGTCAATAGTAAGCAAAAGACCAGTGAAAATACAGTATACTTGTATCGAGACATTGCAATACACCCCGTAAATATATGATTATTTGCCAATTAAAAATAAAACTTTAAGAAGGGCTAGTAAGGAAGTTATTAACTGATTTTCAATAGCTTTCCAAGTACTGTTCCAGGAACTATGTTAAGTGCTTTGTAGCCATTCTCATTTGATTCTTAGAACAATCCACAGGGCCTAACATATTTACTAACTGGACTGTTACCAAAATAGTTGACTGATTCCTGACTTAGATTAGGAAGATTAGAACTATAAGGACAGCATATCTTTAAGATATAGAAGTCTGATAATAAGACATGAATTCTTTAATATACAAGAAGGGAACTCATAAATTCCACTTAAAATGTTTCTCTTTCAGTTTGGTATCATGTCATATTTTCAAATTTGACTGTTACGGTTAACATACTGGATTCCACTCTTGGTTTCTCTACTTATTTACCTATGATTTAGTAGCAGTGTGATGAAACAAGAGAGGTAAATTAAAATGGAGGGTGACTACCAGGCTTTGAAACAGCAATACTTTCTTTTTGTTTCTGTTTCTGTGACTTTGGGTAAATTACACAACCTTTCCGAGCCTCCACTTCCTCATCTGTAAAATAAGTGTAAAAAATAATAGTTATTTCATTGTGTTGACTTGGGGATAATAAAAACTCAGTATGTAAATGATTAGAATAGTGTTACCAATGTGCTACATGAATGTTTGCAATTGATTTTTCATCAGATTTAGAATATATACTCTCCCTTGGCTTTCTACATGCTGTGCCTCTGCCCTCCAACTGCCTCACTTGTTTCTCTAACTCCACCTTTTCCCTTACAATATTGCAGCCAAAATGGCCTTTCTTTTTTAATTCCTGAAACTTCCATTCAATATTTCTTATTGGTTCTTTTTAGTTATATATAATATTAGGATTCACTGACATAATTAAAAAGCATAGAATATAATTTATTCTAATTCAGTTCCCAGTACTTCCTCTTTCCTTTCTTTCCCCTCCTCCCTCCCCTATGATCTCATCCCTCTACAGATTTTTCTATTTATAGTTGTTTTTTTAATTAGTGTCTTATGGATATACATGATGGCATGACAGCGATTCACTGTGGTATATTGGCAAGGATGTGGGGAAAAAGGTCTACTCATACATTTTTGGTGGGGCCGCAAACTAATCATCTTCAAAACTTAACTCTTTTGTTTTATTATCTTTCATTTTTCTTTCCCTTCCCCACTCATCCAATACTAGTATTAGGCATATACAGGACAATAATAAATATTCATCAAATGAATACATGGAATGAATGAATAATCAGGGGGAAACCACTCTCACGACAGATATTTGTACAATTTGTTTATTTTTGCTATGTTTTAGTCAGTGTTTTTTGCTTCTGTGACTAAAAAACCTGACAAGAACAATTTTAAGAAAAGTTTATTTGGGGGCTCACAGTTTCAGAGGTCTGTCAACAGATAGCTGGCTCCATTCCTTGGGGCCTGGGATGAAGCAGAACATCATGGTGTAAGTGTGCAGCTGGGAAAGCAACTGGGGACATGGCATCAAGAAAGCTCCACTCAAAAGCATACCCCCAGGGTCCCACCTTTTGGCCACACCCTACCTACCTACAGTTACCAGTTAATCCCTATCAGGGGATTAACACACTGATGAGGTTAAGGATCTCATATCCTAATCATTTCACCTCTAAACCCTCTTGCATTGTGTCATACATGACCTTTGTGGGGACACCTAATATCTAAATCATAACATGCCACCAAAGTTTTCATGTGCTTACTTTGTAGTGAATATGTACCAGTATCATCAGTATTATCCCTTCCTTTATCTGAGAAACAGACTGCTTCTTCCATACGAGGACATTAGTGGGGACTGTTAAATCCTTATAGGATTTGGGTCTCAACACATTGACTTAGCTAAAATCAGATATGCAATCCCCTAATTCTTCATGCCTAGTTAACTAGCCTCTATTCAATCAACCTCTTTAAAAAGACGGGCAACTCCAAGTGACAGACACAGAAGCACAGAAAGAATGGTTCAACATGTGGGGTTTCTTTTTGGTGGCTGGAATCCAGGGTTTTGCCCACGCTAGGAAAGCATTCTACTACTGGGCTGCATCCTGTCCCTTTTTATTTTATTTACTTTTTGAGATGCCTGGAATTAAACCTAGGATCTCTTACTTGTTAGGCAAGCACTGTACCACTGAGCTACATCCCCAAACCCCTTTTGAGACAGGGTCTAAGAGTTAATGTCGGGTCCTGTGTATTGCAAAATAAGATCCTCCAGAGTTGTAAAGATTACCCACGGTATTTTAACTCCTCAATCCCCTCCCCATGCACATATTCAAATAGCTGTTTTAATTCATAATGATGATTCCCTGCATTTTATATACAAGAATTTCAGAAGTAGCCAAAAACTGGTTTTGTACCTCAGTGCAAGACCCTCCTCCCCTCAAGGTCATTAAGACAAAATTTTCTTTGGAGAGTTGTTCAACTGCTAGAAAATTTTCATCTTGCTTCCTAACTAGGGGATCAGAGGATATGCCTCACTTTGATTAAAGCTTAAGAGACCTAAATTGTGTTATCTGCAGTCTCTGGTGCCCAAAGGTCTATATCAAATACATATCAGAAAGTAGCTACCTAATAAAGAAGTATCTACTTGAAAATCCTACAAAGCTGGTTTATGAAGGCAAAGGTAGTATATTTCTCAGATAATTGCCTGTACATTTTTAAAAATTTACTTAGTTAAATATGAACACACAGTATATTTATTTTTATTTGGTGCTGAGGATCGAACCCAGTGCCTCACACATACGAGGGCAAGCACTTTCCCACTGAGCTACAGCCCCAGCCCACCTGTACATTTTAAACTGAACTTTTCCAGCTCCAAGGCCAATGAAACCTTGGTGAAGCAAATCCTCTGCTATGTGAAACTCACTAAAGGAAGAGTCAAAAGTGGACATTAGGAAAATTGCATTATTTCTATCTTGTGCATCAGAATCACATGGAAGGCTTGTTAAAAAACAGAGTACAGGATGCTACCCCTAGAGTTTCTGGTTCAGAAGATCTGGAGTGGGGATGATACTTAGAAAGCTCAGTTCTTTTCCCCAATGTCCATACAGTAACAAGGACAAGATTTTAAGTAAAGGGAAGAAGTAGTTTTATTGCTTTGCTAGCAAAAGAGAAACAGGAAATTCCCTTCCCACAGGCTTTGATTCTATCAGGGGAAATGGTGGGCTTTTAATGAGGGGATACAAAGGCTACACTCAGGTCATAACTCATAATTGCAGACTTGAGAGCCATTTCTCAGTCCCACTGATGCCAGCCCTGAAATCTGGAATCTTTAATTCTTATGGTCATGAGCAGAACACACAACTTCAGCCTAGGACAGGAAGAAAGTTATCTTGCTTTCCTATGGTTAGCAAAGGGGAGAGGGAGAGGAATGGGGAAAGTATCAGTTTAAAAATAAATTGCAGTGGCAGAATAGCAAGGGTTAGCCAAAGCATGAAGTGGACTCATTACAGGGCTAAGAATTTTCATCTCTAAAAAGTTCTTGATGAGGTGTATCTGTAGGTCCAGGACCACATTTTGAGAGGTATTGGCTTATATTACAAAAATGCCAGGCAGGCATCCTCAGATATCAGGCTGCCTCTCCACCTTGGTGGAAGAAGGGTAGGGTGAAAGGAGAAAAAAATACAGAAATAAAATCCTAAAACAAATTTATTTCTTGCTCACAAAAAATTGAATTAGGTGGGAAAGATGTGGGAGTTAATGAAAGGAAAAACTAGTTCTCACAATCATTCAAAGTCCAAATCTTTGCCATCTTCAAATGGCTTCCAGTCTAGTTATCTTGAGTATGCCCATCTAAATACAGATGGTAGGAAAAGGAGGAACACACAGGAAATTTTAACAGGACTCACCTGGATTCCTACTGTCCAGAACTTAGTTACATAGTCTCCACATAGATGCATGGCCCTGAATGGGTAAATGTGGTCCCTTGCTGGGCAGCCACATCTAAGTAATCTCAAAAATAAGTAAACATTTTTGACAGACATCTTTTTCCATTGCAGGCTTCCAGCCTTAAGCAAGCCTGAGCTCAGATTTAAAGAAATGGGTACTTAACTACATAGACATCTTAATTACTAAAATGAATGCATGCAACTAAAATAAGAAAGGGCTGGCCACAATGGCACATGCCTGTAATTCCAGAAGCTCAGGAGGCCAAAGGCAGGAGGATTTTAAGTTCAATGCCAGCCTCAGCAATTTAGCAAGACTCTGTCTCAAAATAAAACATAAAAAGGGCTGGGGATGTGGCTCAATGGTTAAGAGCCCCTGGGTTCAATCCCCAGTATCAAAAAAAAAAATAGAAAAGAAAGGACTTACTGATTAAATAATTGGAAAAATAACACAACTTATAAAATCCCCACCTCAACATTCCATGCAGGTTAGGGAGAAGAAGCTGAGATAGTGAGTCTACAGGAAAAGGTTTGAGAAAAAGTTCCGTTTTTTAATTCTACTGGGTTCCTTTTTCAACATGCTTTTTGGAGATTAAGTCTAAACACTTTGTACTTTCATTATTCAAGCATATGATAAAATTGTTTTTCAAGGATGACAGCTTGCTAGTATTAAGAATATCTTCAAAATTTTACTGCAACTCCAAAAATCAGAATATCCCACACAACAGCAAACACTTTGCATTTTAAGGTGATTATTTTTAATACAGGTGTACTCATTCACCTACGCTTGTTACACAGTGAAATTCTGCCTATGGCATCCCATCATTGAAAAACTGGAGTCAAGAGAAACAAATTCCTTTATATTTTAGTTATACCTGTTTTAAGACTGTCCAAAAGAGGAATATAAGATGCTATTTAACAAAATAAAAAAAGAAGAAAAATACCCTTCATGGTCTTTCATTCATTTCATCAATTAGAACACACAAAGCAGCATCTTTCTCTATAATCTGGTCCCTTCTATGAACTGAATTTTCTCTTTGTTGTTCATTCTGTCCAGTACAATTATTGCTATCATCAGCATCCATTGGCTCAGTTTTTACTCTCATTCCTGCTTCAGAATGAGGTAAATCATCAGGCAAGGAAGCCAAACAATTTTGAATCATCTCAATTACTCGTTCCAGGTGCTTCTGAAACCTCTCAGCTGTTTCAAGCCGTTGACGTTTCTGGACCTCCATCATGACTCTCAAGGTCTCTCTTGCTTGATGGGGTCGGTATTCATTTATAAGATGATGCACATGTACAAATAGCAGTTTAAGATCTTCTAGCTTCTCTTCCCGTTTTATACTCCCAGGGCTCCTTATCAAGATATCTAAAAGATCCAAGAAATTAATAAGGATAGACATATTGAGTTTTCTCAGTTCCTTCTTGTGATCAAACTGCATAGGATGAAGGCGTTCAATGCCCTGACTTTCCAAAGGGCGAATGATAAGGTCATCACACTGGAACTGGTTGCCAAACATCATATAACTGTCTTTAATTGGAGGAGGTGGCTTGGGAGCTAAGCCCTCCTGAATATTTTCATCTGTATATTCCTTGATGTACTGCATCGGAGGTGGTGGAAGTGCACTCACTTGTTGTGGTTCACCCATTGTGAAAGATCAAGAACCTACAGAAATAGACCAAAGATTTAGAATAGAGATACAAATCAAACCTGTCAATACATTAGTAAATGTAGAATAATATTTCTGGTACCAGGGATTGAACATAGGGGGCACTTAACCACTGAGTCACATCCCCAGCCCATTTTTTATATTTTATTTAGAGATCCAGGTCTCAGTGAGTTACTTAGGGCCTCTCTAAGTTGTTGAGGCTTGCTTTGAACCCCCGATCTTCCTGTCTCAGCTTCCCAAGCTGCTGGAATTATAGGGTGGAGGCAGAATATTTTCTTCCTTCTTCTGACTTTGGTGTGTCCTTAGTTTATTAACATTTACAATAAGCAAAGAATACTGTTTTTTTCTAATTAAGCATTATATCATCAACCATGCACACATGCTCTTTCTTTCCTTAATACTTCCATCAGCATTAAAAAATATTGTAGCATCTTTTTATCTACAAAAAAATCTGGATTCCAAACCCCTCATTAGTTACCCTCCATTTCTCTACTCTTTTTCCACAGCCAAAGTACACATGCTGTCTCCCGTTGTTATCACAATCGCTTTTGTTTTCTATTATAGATTCGATTTCCAAAAGCAATACTAATGAACAGTTTGACAAATTAACATTGCTAAATTTCAGACTCTTGATGTTATCCAAGGTTCTTGGAGTAAATGATAACCCAATTTTATATCCTACTGTATCCTACAATTTTATATGGCCACATCAACTTTCTTACTTAAATTTCAACGTCAAACTCAAGCTAAGTTAACTTTTTAGGTCACATTAACCTCTTAATAACTTACTCATTCCACTTTAAGGGTAGGTATACCATCTAATAAGATTCCCACGTGCTCCTTTAGACTAATCTTATTAAATTCAAGATTAAAGCATCCTCTAAGATTAAGTAGGGCAAGTAACATACTAGTAACAGTGCTGTTCTTGGAATTTGTTGGAAACTGATGGTAACTGTGAAGCAGCTCTAGGTTTCCACCAAACCAGAGTGGAGCAGAGAATATTGCCAGAATCAAGGGTGCAACAGTCATGAACAATATGAGTTACCAACTCAATATGACTATACCAACACACAATGCATTTCTTTACCAATACATACTTCCCCTCTTTTCTCAGCTTCTCTGACCTCAACATTCATGTTTTCCTCCTATGTTCCTGGCCACCCAGTTGCCTCTGTCTCTCCTTCTCTATCCAAACTTTAATATAAAACTTTAATCTCTACCAAAACTCTTCTCACAGCTATCAAGATTTCAAACATTCTATTATTCCGAAGATATTAGAATATTACATTCCCCCTGGCACATGCTTGTAATCCCAGAAACTTGGGATGCCGAGACAGGAGGATTCCAAGTTCAAGACCAGCTTCAGTAACTTAACCAGGCCCTAAGCAACTTACTGAGACCCTTAAAAGAGCTGGAGATCTGACTCAGTCATAAAGCAACTCTGGGGTCAATACCAAAAAAAAAAGAAAAAAGAAAAACAGATCTTAGAATTTCTCCTATGTAGTAGGCTCTGGATTTCAGTAACAGGTCCCAGTCTTCAGTTTTTCAGGGTAGTCATTCCAAATTCATAGCAGGAAGGCCTATTTCAATCCTCATAGTAAAAGCCACATCAATTATGATCACTGCATAATTCCTTTAGGTTCTTATGCCAGTACCACCCAAGAAACTATGGGGAAATTCACCTAGACAACTAATGAAAAAGAATTCACACATTTAATCTGGCAGTACCAAAATTTTAAATGCTGATATTCTTTGAATCAATAATTCCATTTTTAGAAATTAATCCCATAAAAATCCTGCTACAAGCACATAAAGACGTACACAAGGACGTTTAATGCAGCATTGTCTGAATAGAGTAGAAAAATTGGAAATAATCTATTCCTTAATTGATATGATGGCTGAATAAAAATGTCTACATAAGCATCAAGAAAACATGGATAGAAGGTTGTTTATGAAAACATGTATCATTTCAACTGTTCATAATACGGTTTACTTGCAAACAGTTATAACTGACTTTTCCAACTTAATTCAGATTTACAGAAAAGCTGTATTCTAAATGTCTTGCGAGTGGGGGGGGGTGTAGAGATCCAACTCATGGCCTTTCCAAGATAGGCAAGCACTGTACACACTAAACTATAACCCTTTTTTTTTTTTTTTTGGTACCAGGGATTGAACCCAGGAGCACTTAACCACTGATTCACAGTGGTTATTTTTTTATTTTGAGACAGGTCTTGCTAAGTTACTTAGTGCCTCATTAAATTGTTGAGGCTGGCCCAAACTTGCAATTCTACTGTCTCAGACCCCTGAATATCTGGGATTATAGGCCAGGGCCACAGCATTCTTTACATGTTAACGTTTCCACTCACTTGCTTTACTGGTTTCTCATCTTTTTATACCCAAACACTAAAACAAGAATGTTCTCTTATAACCAGAGTACAATAACCAAAGCCACACAATTACTGAACTGGTTCTTAAAATTTTAGGGCTGGGGTTGTAGCTCAGTAGAAAAGTGCTGCCTAACTTGTGAGGCACTGGGTTTGATCCTCAGCACATTAAAAAAAACCCAAAAATTAACAAATAAAATAAAAGCATTCTATCCATCTACAACTACAAAAAACAAACAATTTAGACAGCCCAAATTTTACCACTCAAACCTTTTTAGGTTGGGAGTTCTGGGCTTCCTTACAAATGTGCATCATTGCAGTTATCATTGGAAGGGCCAAATATAAGACGAGTACCATCATTAATGTAATTTTACTACAATTCTTCCAGTTAAAAACTATTACCAAGTTCATTTTAGAGATGAGGATCCCAAGTCTTAATGTAGGGAAGTGTTTACATCAGATCAAAAGGCCAGTAAATGGTACAATGAGAATTCTTAATCCCAGGTCCTTTCAACTCCAAAGTACAAACTCTTGTGGCAGGGGAGGGAACAAGGGCATGGGACTGTCTAAATCATAAAAGTACTTCACATATTACTGAAATTAAGTCCCACCCCCCACCCCTAGGGTGATGCCTCAAGCCTATAATCCTAGTGACTCAGGAGGCTGAAGCAGGAGGTTCGGTTAAATTTGAGGAGTCTGGAGAAATTAGCCTAGGCCCTAAGCAATTTAACGAAAATTGAGTCTCATAATATAAAAAAGGTGGGAGCGAGGAAATGGTCCTGTGGTTAAGTGCTTTTGGGTCCCGTCCCCAGTTCAAAAAACTTAAAAACACTTTTCTCTATCACCTCTTTGGAGTGAACTGTTCAAAGCCCATGGAGATGTTATTTTAGTAAAACCAGCAACAACTAGTCGGTTCTCAGGCTCAAACCTAGTGCTTGCTGGGGGAATCTTCATCAAAAAAAGAAAAGTACTCCAGGGTCCCACCCTTGGAGATTTGATTAACTATCTACTGCGAAACGGACCCCCTGGGTATGTCATTTTGTTGTTGTTTGCAATGGGGCGTGACCCCAGGCCAGGGATGCTCCAGCACTGGGCCACATCTCCAGTTACTTTGAGACTGGGTCTCCCCTAAATTGCCCAACCTGGCCTCGAACTTGCTCCCCTCCTGCCTCTGCCTCCCGAGTTGCTGGGATTACCGGGTGCACCACCAAAGCCCAGCTCTGCAGGTCGATTTTAAAACCTCGCGGGATGAATCTGAGGGTCAGTTTGGGGCTCCACCCCTCCGCAGCCACCCGATTAACTCGGCTCGTTTCACAACTGGTCCCAGGAGGAGGGACGGCCATGGTCATTCTCACTGTACAGGCCGTAAAAGAGGGCAAGTGACTCGCCAAGACCACACGGCTGAGAACCAGTGGCTGGGGATCCGAGCCCGAGCCTCCCCGCCTGGATTCGGGCTCGTCGGCCCGGGGACCGAGAGCACCTTCGCTGGGCTGCCCCCCCAGAGCCTCAGAGCTGCGGGGAGGACATGCTTTCGCAACGCGTGATGAAAGCGAGGCAGCGCCTCCGAGGCCGAAGTTAGCCAGGTCTACCGGGACCCAGCCCGGCCTAGAAGAAGCGGCGAGGTCCGGAAGGAAAACCGCAAGAAGACCCAAAGCCCACGCCATTGCCGCCCACTCACCTCAGCTCTCGGTTTACTCAAGCAGCCGCCTCCGCCACCGCAGCCGAAATCCGACTTCCGGTCTCCTTCTCAGGAAGAAGGCGCTGATGCTGTCCTTTGATTGGCTGCAAGAACTGTCCTTTAATGGAGTCCCTAGTCCCGCCCCAGACATTGCCTTGCTACAGCGTCTGCGCATTGCCCACTGCCCCCGCCATCTCTGCTTCGCGTCGCCCAGCTGTGCTCTGTGTTTGGCAAGGTAGAAACCTGCCAGGTGTGGGGAGTATTTCTTTGTGCTTTCGTCAGCAAAAGTAGTATTTCCTTTTTTTTCCCCCGCCTTTGAAATTTAGCACTTAAAATTAAGACATTCGTTTGATTTACATAGAAAATATAAAGACAAGTATTTTTTTAAAAAAGTTTTAACGCTAACCCACTGTCAAAAGTAATGTTTAAAAAACGAAATTGGACTGTGTGTGAGATATATATACTCATAGATATATTTATCTGACCGATCTATAGGTAGATAAATACTGGTACTAGAAGTATATGTGAACCTGATTGGGAACCAGTAATATTTTCTAAATCTCCGTTTCTATTTTTTTACTATTATTTTTAGTGGTACATGGACACAATGCCTTTTTGTTGTTGTTGTTGTTGTTGTTTTTATGTGGTGTTGAGGATCGAACCCAGTGCCTCACACGTGCTAGGCAAGCTCTGTACCACAAAGCTACAGCCTCAGCCCTGAATCTCCATTTCTTAAGTATCCATTAACTTTTATTTTCATTTAGGAATTCAGGGATCCCTTTTATATTTCCAGCCCACAAATTACCAAGTGAAAAATAAAAAAACTGGTGTAAATGTTTCTTTGGAGCCTTATTTTTATGAGAAGTATGTCACAAATTTCTGAATTTGTGGAAGTCAAAGCATGTTACACATAAACAATAAAATTGTTAATTCTGATAAAAGTGATCAACTATATCTCTTTAGAAATAAGATTCTTTGGTTTTGTTTTTTTAAAGCTCATTATGAAGAATTCCAAGTGTAAGCAGAAGTAGAGCGTAAAGAATACTCATCACCCAACTTCAGTTATCTGCCCATCGACCTCATTTCATTTTTGTTTCAGCCTGATTTTCTAAAAGGTTAGGACATTTTATCATATAACCATAGAATCATTCTTATTTTAAAATAAATTAATAATTCTTCTTTATTATCAGCTATCACATTTGTATTTGCATTTCAGTTATCTCAGGTTCCAAAGAAGTTCTATGTGTTTCAATTAGCTAATGTGTCTTTTAATTACCTTTGCTCTGTAGGTTCCTTCCCATCTCAATAACCACATACCCCAGGCCCCCAGCCAACATCAAGTATTTTGGTAAAGAAATTTATCCACTTTTGAGCCTGCCACAATCAGGCTTTTCTCTCCACTCCTGACACCTATGTGTCCTATACCAGTGACTTCCAGTGGTCATTTGCAGTCCTCATTTCACTCCCAGCTGTCAGTAGCACTTGGCACATTTGCCCTAGGACTCAGTTCTCAAGCCGCTTCTCAGCTAGATATAATCCAGGCCATAACAACCAAGTGATGACATGCAGGCTGTTGAACACTGTGCCCATCAGACTCCTGTATCCAAAAGTATTAGACATCTTTACCCAGTGGCATTTAAGTCATTTGCAAACGCAGAAATCTAAAGAGTTGTGTTTTCCTCTCAATATCCACTGAAACTGCCGTGTGAGCCTTTTGTATTACTTCAATTTAAAAATAAGTCAAGTCTCACATAGGACTAATTTTCACACTCCCACTGCTATGATCCCAGCTCATGTCATTATTCCTTGGCACCTGGACTTCTGATCTAGGCTCCCAACTGATTTCCTCTCTTCTACTTTTGTCCTTGTGTTTACCACACTCTCTTAAAACATAGGGTTGAACCTATCATTCCTCTATTCAAAATTCTCCAAAGTTTTCTGTTACATTTAGAATAAAACCTAATGTCCCCACCATATCCTATATAAGGCCCTACAAAATCTAGTCTTTGGATACCTATCATATTATATTATACCCACCATTTCTTTCCATGCTTACTCTTCTCCAACTTCACTGGCTTTCTTTCTTTCCCAGGAAATGGCAAGCACATTCCTGCCTCTGGGCCACTGCGTTTGCCTGGAATTCTTTTTCCATAGATATTCACATGCCACACAGTTTAAAACTTATAAATTAAATTTATAAATTACTTAGTTAGGGATTAGAGATATAGCTTGGTGACAGAGCACTTGCCTAGCAAGCATAAGGCCTGGATTTGATCCCCAGCACTAATAAATTAATTAATTAAAACAGTTTATTTTTGGAATTTTCCATTTGCTATTTTCACACCATGATTGGCCAAAGGTAATTGAAACCTTGGAAAGTGAAACCTTAGATAAGTGGGGAAAAGTATACAGTCATCATTTTTAAATTGAATTCATAGCATGACTTTGATGGATATAGTCAATTTAGCCAGAGCCCCATTGAGTAAAATTATTTTTCTCTCAGTTTTTGCTACTGTAATTACACGGTTTGATGAGTATCCCTGTGTATATATGTTTGTGTAATTGTGCATTTTTGTCTTGAGATGGAATCACTGGCCCCCAAGTGTAGTGTCTAATAGTTAGTAGCAGGATCAAGGTTAGAATCTAGAACTTGACTCTTATTCCAGTGTTCTTTTCAGTAGACTGTAAATGAGTAATGGCTATAAAATCCATATCATTTGAGGGGGCATATAAACATCATATCATATGATGCATAAAAATGTTTATTTGCCTATGTTTGAAGGATCTAAACTACTATAGTTTAACAAGGAATACATCTGTTCAACAAGTCTTTAAAGATTAAGAAGACGTTCAAAAGACCTACCTTCTAATGAAGAGATACAAAGGACAGTATGTAAACACATACGAATTTCAAATACTGATAAGGGCTATGGAGGAAAAACGATATAGATTAATGTGATAGTGATGTGGATGGGGTAGTTACTTTATCTAAGAGGGTAGTAGTTAGGGAAGTCACAGTGGGGGACTTTGGAAATAGGGCGTAAATAATTATTAATTAATTAATTAATCTTGCAGAGATCTTAGAAACAGCAATTTCAAAGAACCTGAGACTGCCATGATCTTCTTAAATTAGAGACAGCAAGGAAACCTGTATGCTCTATAACTAGTGAGCAAAAGAAAAGTAAAGGGAGGTGACAATGTTATGTAGTAACTGGCATTTTCCTTCTTTTAGATTCTTGGCATATCACTGTCTATCATTTATATCTAAGTGGGAATCAGAAATATTCTTAGTTGTTCTTCACCCTGTTGATTGTTTTTAAATCTAGGTTTATTGAAGTGTAATTTATATATACTAAAACTAACTTTAAAGGTACATGAGTCTTAAATGAGTCTTGATGAAGATATACCATGTAACCACCTCTACCAGAATTAACACATATGACATTTCTATCACCTGAACAATTTTTGTGGGCTTTTTTAATATAAATTTCATGATTTTATTTTCTATTTATGTAAAGAATAACATTGATACTTCATGAAAATTGCATTGAACCTCTAGAGTACCTTGGGTAGTAGAGACATTTTAACAATATTGATTCTTCCAATTTATGAATGGGGGATATCTTGCCATTTTTGTGTGTGTGTGTTCCCTTCAATTTTTTTCAACAGTATCTTTACATTTGCATTGAGGAGACATTTCAATTCCTTGGTTAATTTTATTCTTAGGTATTTTTGTAGCTATTTTGAGTGGAATTATGTTGTTTATTTCTCTTTGAACAAGTTTATTATTTTGTGGCCTTTTGTATTCAGCTCCCTCCCTTCATGCCTAACCCCTAGTAACCATTGATCTGATTTCTGTTTATATAATTTTGCTTTTTACAGAATGTTACATGAATGGAATCAGGCAGTATGTAGACTTTTGTGTCTTGTGTCTTTCTCTTAACCTGTTAAGTCCCAAGTTTCCAGTTCTACAAATATTGCAATAAATTAGCACAGGTGCAAAAATTACCATAAATGATATATTTGTTGCTCAATATAAGTCCACATCTAGGATTATGTGACTGAATGGGTTAACATAATACTTTTGAGTCTCTCAAAGTTGTTGTTGTATGTATCTGTAATTTGTTCCTTTCTAAGGTGAGGAATATTCTGTTGTATAGATGTACATAATTCTTTTATCCATATACCAGCTGATGGACATTTGGATTATTTCAGTTAGGGGTGATTATGAATAAAGCTGCTATAAACATTCACATATAAGACACTGTATAGACTTGTTTTATTTTCCTTTGGATGACAATATAGAATAGAATTGTTAACTGAATAAGAAACTGCCAAGCAGTTTTCTAAAGAGATTACATCATTTTCATTTCTACTAGCAACCTGTAAGTTATAATTGCTCTGCCTCCTCAATCTGAATTTATTAATTGTCCCCTTTTTTGGGGTACTGGGCATTGAATCTAGGGTCACTGAACCACTGAGTCACATCCCCATCCCTTTTTAAAATATTTTATTTAGAGAAAGGGTCTCACTGAGTTACTTAAAGCCTTGCTAAGTTGCTAAGGCTGTCTTTGTACTTGCAATCCTTCTACCTCAGCCTCCCAGCTGTGAGATCACAGGCATGCACCACTGTACATGGTAATTGTTCTTTTTTAAACTTGATTATTCTAATAGATGTATGGTGGTTTTAATTGGTATTTTCCTAGTGTTAGATGTCTTCTTTTTTGATTGTTGGTACTGGGGTATTTAACCACTGAGCTACATCCTCAGTTCTTTTTATTGTTTAGTTTGAAACAGGGTCTCCCTAAGTTGCTCAGGACCTCACTAAATTGCTGACACTGGCTTTGAACGTGGGATCCTCCTGCCTCAGCCTCCTGAGTCACTGGGATTATGGGCGTGCATCATGGTGCCTGGTGCAATGGCCTATTTTTTAATTAGCTTGTTCTCAAACTGTTGTGTTGTATATATACACATACACAAACATACATTCTCTGGATATAAGTTCTTTATTAGATATGTGGTTTGTAGATATTTTTTCTCCACTTGTGGCTAATCTTTTCATTTTCCCTAATAGCATCCTTCAAAGAGCAGAGGTTTTTAATTTCACTGAAGTCCTGTTTATCA